TGCCAGAAGGTGAAGATTGAACATCAAAGACCGTCTGGTGAACTTCAACATCTTTAAGTACCACAGTGGAAGTGGGAAGGTATTTCCATGGACTTCGTGGTGGGATTGCCGAAGACTCAGGCGGGTTGTGACTCTATTTGGGTCATCGTGGACAGACTGACGAAGTCTGCCCATTTTCTTCCAGTGAAGGTGAGCTTCACTACAGAGCAGTTGGCCAAGCTTTATGTCCGCGAGATTGTGAGGCTTTACGGGGTGCCCGAGAGTATCATTAGTGATAGGGACTCGAAGTTCACATCTCGGTTCTGGGAGGCGCTGCAGGAGGCTTTTGGTACGCAGTTGAGATTGAGTACCGCCTATCACCCTCAGACTGATGGACAGACTGAGAAGACCATCCAGACCTTGGAGGACATGTTGCGAGCATGCACGTTGGAGCAGGGCTCGGCATGGGATAGGTACCTTCCGTTGGTTGAGTTTTCTTACAACAACAACTTTCATGCTAGCCTGGGCATGGCGCCCTACGAAGCACTGTATGATAGGAGGTGTCGGACTCCTACTTGTTGGTCTAAGGTTGGGGACAAGGAGCTTTTTGGCTTGGACTTTGTCCAAGATACCACCTTGCAGATCTAGATGATCCGTGAAAAGTTGAAGCAGGCGCAGAATCGCCAGAAGAGCTACTATGATGTCAAGCATCATCCGCTGGAGTTCAGTGAGGGTGAGCACGTGTTTGTGAGACTTTCACCTGTCACCGGTGTAGGTCGGGCACTCGGAGTGAGGAAGCTGAGCCCGCGATATATTGGGCCATACCAGATCCTTGGTAGAGTAGGACCTGTTGCCTACCGGCTTGCCTTGCCTCCGAACCTGGCTAACATCCACGACGTGTTTCACGTGTCTCAGCTTCGGAAGTACATAGCAGATCCGTCGCACGTGGTGCAACCAGATGATGTGGAGGTTCGGGAGAACTTGAAGACTCACGTCGGACCACTCAGAATTCTCGATCGTGGCGAGAAGCAGCTGAGGAGCAAGATCATTCCAATGGTCAAGGTGTAGTGGACCGGAAGAACTCCTTAGGAGTGTACATGGGAGCGTGAGGACGAGTTTCTCCGGCAGTAACCCGAGTTTCGACCAGGTATGTTTCTGATTTTGAGGTCAAAATCCTAAAAAGGTGGGGTAAATGTAAGAACCTGCATCGTTAATTAAGGTATTTAATTAATTAATTATGCAAAATTAGGAAATGATTCCATAATTGACCCTAATAATTATTTATGAGGCTTAATAATTATAATAAGTGGGTTAGAATGCTGAAAGTCGTTTTTCGGAAGAAAAGCGCAGATACCGGTTCTGCTAGTCGGTATAAATGTGTACCAAAAAAGTATCCCGGAAAATTAAAGTAAGTACATGATAATTACTAGAATATTATGTAGGACTTGTAAAACGAGTTTCAAGTCCAAATAATGAGAACTTGTGCTAGAAACCGGTATTGGCTTTGAAAAGCGCGTACCGGTAAGGTGCTCAGAAAAATATAATAAAAATATGATAATTCTTGAAAAATTATGTAGTTTCAGAATCCAAAGTTTGGGATTAAAATGCTAAGCTTAGCAATTAAAGTTAATACTGTGTGTTTAAGTGTGTTTGGGCTATAAATACTCTTATTATGGACACAAAACCCTAGGATCAGATTTCTATACGTGAGTTTGGGGCTGACCATCTGCTGGTTACTGTTCCATTGACTTTCCCTTCCATTTTTTGAGCCAAGTTGTGATCTTTCTTGATTTTCTTCACATTTCCTGCTTGTAAACACTTGTGGGTGGCTTGGTGAGGGTGAGAGATAGCTTGTCTTGGTGTTCCAGCTACTGTGTTTGAGGGGAGTAGGCTGAGTTTGAGAGTTGGAGAGGAGTCATCTTGTTCTTGGTGTTTTGGAGCTTCAAGGAGCCTTCTTTTGTGTAAAAGAACCACCTTTGTGCACCATTTTCGTGTGCAGTGAGAGACAGAATCTTGGAAGTGTCTAGTGAGCTCCAAGAGCATCTCCATTCTGAGTTTTGAGCCTTGGTATGTTGTACCAACCTTTAACTTGAGTTTTAAGGCTTAAAAATGGTACCTTGATTCACCTAATGACTAAAAGATGATTACTTGTTGTTGGGTAATGTTGAACACGCCTAGAAATGCATGATTAGGTGTTTAAAATCGATAAAAAAGGAACCTTTAAGGGATATCTTCACGAAAATGCAGAAACTGTATTCTGTCGTGAAATATCCGGATATTTGTCGAACAGATATCCGGATATTGGATATCCGGATATGTGGTTTTGGGATATCTGGATATTGGATATCTGGATATGTGAATCTGTATATCCGGATATTGCATATCCAGATATGGACAGTGAGATATCCGGATATTGCATATCCGGATATGGTCCCGAGGAATATCCGGATATTCAGGGATTTCGTGAAACAGTAGTTGTGTTGTGTGTCCAGTAGGCTATTGGGGGTTTGTGGACCCTAGTTTGATGAAGATGAACTTCTGTATTTAATGGACTAAGCCAGAATCATGGGATTAAGGGCTTGTGGCTTTGATAGAAGCTTTAAGACTTGAGAACGTAATGAAAAGGCGTTGTCTTTAATTTGTATGCATGTGGTACATGTTTATTGATTTATATTTGGTCCATATCATATTGTCATCTGCTGTGATTGGACTTTGAGCTTGTGGCGTTGGATAGCTAGCTTAGAGGTAAGCTTTCGTGTCCTCGGTTTAGCCATGTTGTGGTTCCACCATGTCTCATGGGGATATGGTATATGCATGTTGTGTTACATGCTTTTGATGTTTTGGAAATGCTGTTGAGCTATTGTATGTTAGTGCCTTGTTGATATGCATGGAGGTGTTCCACCTATACGGTAAGCCTGAGTATGTAGAACATACAAGAGGGTGAGGCTGTGGGTGAGGTGCAAACGATGTTCCTTGTACTACATGTAGGGAATAGACGTATTCCTACATTTCTCTAGCCAGTAGATAGTGATTACACACATGCCATAGATATCTGTTGCACTACATAGTTTTGGAACTGATAATGATATAAATGCTTTTAGAACTTATATTGCACATGTAAGTGAGCTTGGGGTGGAAGATCCTTGAGGACCCCTTGTCTTACTGAGATTTCTTGTTTAGAGATCTCACCCCACGTTTGGGGAATGATTATTTCAGGGTCAGGTAATGTTGAGACCTCATGCGGCAGGAGGCCGGAGCTGAGTTAGATTGCTGTTATATTATGCTGCCATGATTGGATGTTGGATTTGCATGCTGCTTATATGCTTATAGCTTCAGTTTATGTTTATGGAGTTTATGTTGAGACTGGTTGTTTACTATGTTTATTTGGTGAGCATGGGGATTGTCCATGACACATAGTATTGTTATGTCTTGATTATGTCTTGAGTCTCTTGGTGTTGTAATAATGTATCAGGATATTGTCCGGATTACTTGATGTAATGCTGTGATTTGGATACACACTTTATTTATATATTGAGGTATTTCAGTAGATGTCTTATTGCAATTTACATACAGGCGATATTTTATGAAATTGATTAAGTAATCAAGTTGGTAATTGATAATGACGTCATAATTGAAAAGAAAAAGAATATTCTGCATTTTTAATTAAGCACCGCTTAATACGATGAAATGTTAATATTCCGGATATACACGGGGTGTTACACTTTGCATCTTGGTATTGATTAGAGAGAATCAGAGAAGTACATGTAAAGCACTCTTATGCTCAAGTCAATAGATATTTTATGTGATCAAGTTTAAATAGATAGATGCTCATACCTCAACTTACTGTTTATATGTAAATATATCATGGAACGCCTAATGTCATGCTATGCCTTCTAGGTGCAGCCATTAAGGGGGTAATAGAGTTAAACAGCCGATGTCGGGTGATTGTAATTAATTGAACAGCTGATGTCGTATATCAAAGTGTTTCAGGAGTAATAGTTGTTGGGTCTCTTGCGTCTTTCACTTGTTAGTACTATAATCCTGTGTGTACAAGTCCAAATTAGTTTTTTTTTCTAAAAAAAAAATCGAATCAATCTATTTGTTTACTCTGATAATTTAAGCCGTATTCGATCGTACCGTAATTAATAATGCACATTAAAATAGAGTGGTAATCAGTGGCGGAGCCAGGAATTTTAATGAGAGGAGGCCGGAAAAAAAACTATATTATAAATAAAAGTGTTTGAAATACAACACAAATCTAATATACAAAAATTAAAAGAAATCTATCACATAAATTAAGATTACTTCACTTGACTCTTACTATACGTGTTTTCATATTGTTAAACTCATCTGTAATGAATCCTTCCTAAAACTCAAAACAATTTCTTTTTCAATGTATGAAATCAAAGAATCATCAAGAAATTGGTTTTCCATTCTATTTCGGAGCCTGGTCTTGATTATCTTCATAGCTGATAAAGATCTTTCAGTAGTTGCTATAGAAACTGAAAGAGTGAGTACAAGTCTAATCTCTCTATCAATAAGAGGGTAAATGATGGACTTTCCGGTTCTTGCTAGCCCTTGACATAATTCAGATGTAGTTGATAAATTAATCATATATGGATGTTTAGGAATATCAAGCTCAAAATGTTGTAACTCCATCTTCAAATGCAACTTTTCCTGTTCTGTGAAATCTCTAGAATAAAATTTATCAACAAGTTTGCAAATATCATCACTATTAAATGACTTGTACCTGTTTCTTGGATCTAAAGTCATGCTCAAAGCAAGTAATTCAACAGTATTATCATTGAACCTGCTATTTAATTCTTGCAATTGATAATCAATTGTAGCACAAAGATATTTACCCAATAAAACTTTTCAGTAGAAAAATCACCTTGTTCATTTCGAGCACGACCTCTCCTTCCAATATATTTTGCACGCATATCTGGAATGTCAATGTCATATTTTATGCAAAATTCTTGAACATGAACCAAAAAAGCATCCCAACCTGTCTATCTTAATTTCTAAAGGGACTCTTTTGTAGTTGAAACCAAATGTAAAGCATTTGAAATATCTTGAGACTCTCGTTGCAAAGCTTGACAAAGGACTTCAGTAATACCCATAATTTCCTTCATAAGGTGCGATACGATGACAAAATCAAAAGATGTCAATGATGAGTATGCATTATCTGCATCTCCACGATGTGATGCTATCTTTCCTTTATTAGAAATATTGTCAAGAACTTCACATATGCTTTTAAACATTTTAAACAAACTGCATATGGAATTGTAATGAGAACTCCAACGAGTAGCTCCAGCTCGATGCAAAGTACCAATCTGATTAAGACCAACTCCAGATTCAAGTTCATCAATAGCAATCATTCTTGCAATTTCAATTTTTTGGGCAGCCTTTAACTCATCATTACGCTTACAAGAGGAAGTAACAATATTAATTATGAAGTTCAATTTTTCAAAAAATTGATGAACATGTTTTACCTCATGAGATGCAGCAACCAAGGCAAGTTGAAGCCGATGAGCTAAGCAATGGACATAATAAGCATATGGACACTCAATGCAAATTAAAGCCTGCAGTCCATTCCATTCACCTCGCATATTGCTAGCTCCATCATAGCCTTGTCCTCGAATATTTTGAATATCAAGATTATGGTGACAAAGAGTGTTGAGTATTCCTTGTTTCAAAGTCTTAGCACTTGTATCTTCCACATGTACAAGACCGAAAAACCTTTCCCGTATAAAATCATCTTTATCTACGAATCTCAAAACAATAGCCATATGCTCCTTTTTAGATACATCACTAACTTCATCAACAATAAGACAAAACTTGGCATTGGAAATTTCTTCCCGTATTGTTTTCTTTACCTTTTCAGAGAAAACATGAAGAATTTCCTTTTGAATTTGAGAGGAACTATATGATGCATTTTAAGGAGCTTTTCTAAAACAAATGCTACAACTTCTTGATTATAGGAAGCTAAAAACTTTATCATCTGAAGAAAATTACCTTGATAATTGAATCTGAGCTTTCATCATGACCTCTAAAAGCACATCCTTGAAGAGCAAGCCATCTTGTCATGTCCGCAGAAACTTGTAGTCTCAAACGATTAGTTGCAATCTCCTGAGAAGTAAGTTTTTCAACCAATGTCTCAATATGTTGATATTGGTTCATAAGATCACTACATGAACTCACAACATTTTTATGCATTGAGATAACATTTTTTCCAACATGGCGTAGAAAAGCACAATTTTCTTCATCATTAACCTTTTTCCAATTTCTAAATCCCTCAACAACAAATGTATTAAGTCCAGGACGACCATTGCCACATGGTTTACTAAATAAATAACAAGGCAAACAAAATGCGCATCTTTAGAAGGAGAATTCTCTAACCAAGATGGAAACAAATCAAACTAAGAAGAGAGAAAATGACGTCGATTCTTCTCTGGCCCATAGAAAGGATAATTTTGAAGCTTGCACTGAAATGGACCAAGTTTAAGATAAACACGACCATATTGGAGGACGTAGTGCAGGATTTCTTTCCAATGAAGCAAGATCAACTTCTTTAACTGCCTCTTTATTTTTAATTCTAAGAGACTTTGAAGAAGGAGTCTTAGTATTTGACAATTCGACATTAGGAGTAGACGAGGGCAAAGACTCACTATTCTTTCTCTTAAAATAAGAATCAATAGTAGTACTTTTCCCCATAATACTCTAACCTACAAGGAGCATGAATTATTTCATGACCAGTATGATTTTAAAAATATTATTAATATTAAACCACTAAAAAATATATGCAATTAATTTCTATGTTCATGGCAGTTAATGGATAAAGTTAGAAACATTAAAATAATTTTCTATGTTCATAGGAAGTTAAATAATTTTCTATGAAAACATGTCTTATTAAATAATTGTTTTTCAAGTTTCAACACACCTCTTGATGTCCTTTGGTTCTTCCTTCTTCGGTAATTCTTTTTTCTCTTCTTCTTAAAAATAATAACCTTTGCATCTAGTGCCTAAGACGAAGGAAAAATAAGCACACATGAAAGCATATTGAGAATTAAACTTTATAGGTTATCAACTTATGATACTATTAGAGGTTATGTTATAGTACATTAATTAAATTGAATTTTACCAAAAAAAATTAATTAATTAAATTGAGAATTACAATATAAAAAGGAATATTTGCCATCTAGATGAATTTGGTAATAGCAATGGAGTTTCAAAAGGAAGTTTAAGCAACCAATTAAGTAACCTTACCATATCCCATCACAAGCTATTACAAGAAACTCCTCATCGTGATTGATCGCAAAGCTCAACCTGTTGGAAAGAATATATATAAATTTATATTTGAGCAAAGAAATTAAAGAACCCTATGAAGGAAAGAACTGAAGAAGTATAAGTGTATAACTTTATAAGAATAAAAATAACACAGGCAGTCAAGCACACAAAAAAAACATTCCATAAATATGAACTTGTTTACAGGCATATAATGCACAAAATATTACAAATACTTGGAACTGGTTAAGGAAAAATAAAAACTTGAGACAACAACTGTTAAAATTTCAATAGAATGATAAAATCTCAGACTTTGCTTTACAATGAGAATTTATAACAAAAAGAAATTTTCATTACCAATTACTTTAGCCAAGTTCAAACTTCCATTGATATATGTATTTGGATAAAACCACCAGCTTTTAGAGCATTAAAACCTTATCCTCAACTTTTACGTCATTTTATATTTGAACTTGAAGAAGAAGAGGGTTGGTTTGGTGATAGCATGACTGAACGATGACTTGTTAGATTTAATCAAATATTATAAAAGTGTGTCCAAAAGTCTTACTCATTCCATATGAGGTTAAAACCAATGGGTAAAATCAAATTTTGCTTAAAGGTTGTTGTGCCATGCCATCAAGGCATCAATACATGGGCAGGAGAAGATATTTAGATGTGAAAATTTATACACTCAGATACGTTTTGTCAGTAAACTGATCCATTAACACACGCTATGCCATTTTAAAATAATAATTTTTTTTTCAAATTTGGGGGGATGGGGCGGTGGCCCACCCTAGCCCCTTCTAATTCTGCTTCTGGTGGTGATCGTGCCGAGAATAGTAATTATGGGTAGTTGTAATAGATTTGGAGATAATATTATCGTAGGATTACTATTAGAGGGTGTTTGGTTGAGGATAATTTTTTTGAATACTAGGTAAATGTAATTGATAGGGAAATGGTTGGAAAGTGAGTTTGGTAGGAAAGTGTAAAAAAAATTGTTTGGTTGGAAAAAATTTACCGGGCAAATTAGGTAAGATTTATAAAGTCTATGTTTGGTTTGAGGTAAAATATAGGTGGGAAAATAAGTGATAATTACAAAAATATCCCTGTTTTAAAATTTTTTGAGAAAATAAAAAAATTGTAAATTAGAGAGAAACACGAGAAAGAAAAAGAAAAATGGATCCAAGCAAGTCAAAAATTAATAACAGACACACTAGAAAATGGAAATATATATAAACGAAAATCAAAACAAAAAGAAGATAGAGAACAGAGACAGTGGAAAATGGCGAAAGCTCCAGTACCGATTTGGAGGTTACTCGCAGCCATTAAATCTTCCGAGGCAAGCACTTCGGGTGTTCATTTCTTTCTTCAAATATTTCACCTTGATTCCTCATCTAATTCCAAGTATTCAGTGATTCATTTATGTATTCGATACTTAGTGTTGTTAAAGGCTAAATTGCCATCTGTGTGAGGGGTTTGATCTAATGGTTTTTTTTTTCTTATCTCCAAAACAACAGCACCATACTATTTGTTGCAAAAGAAATTGAAGGTTGTTGCATTACTCAAATGAATGAAATTGTTCTTACTGCCATGACAGTAAATTTCCAGCAATGAGAAAGGACCCAGGAAGGAGAATGGAGAAACAAGGCTGGTCTTTTGGAGAGGGTATGCTGGTCTTTTGGTTTAATTGCAATGTGGGGAAACAAGGCTGCTTTTCAGCAATATCATGTGATCAAAGGGATTGTTTAGCCGGCAAAATCCATGAAAATAGACATGCAAGCAGAATTGGTAGGATAGTCATATAGCTAGGTAAGTATGCAAGCATCCTCAACCAAACATGGTTTTGCCATTTTCCCACTTCTCACTTACCCATCTATCTCAATATTTTCCCACAACCAAACACTCCCTTAGAGGCCACGCCACTGTACGTAGTAGATGTATATATTTATTTTGAGTAGTTAATGATATTTTAACTTTTTACTTTCTGGCTATTTAATTTTTTAACTAAGTGATGTAACTACTTAGTTTTGGAATTAATTTTAATTAATTGTATTTATGAATTGAATAAGAAGTTTGATATAAAAAGGATGTGTCTTTTCGTCATCGAACGGATGTGTTGTTTTTTCCAAAAAATGTTTTTTTTTTTCAAAAAAGAAAAATTACTTCCCACCTCAAGTTCGTTTGGATGTCTCCTTTTAAAAAAAAAGTATAAGTCACAAAAAAGTCAAAATCTACTTTTTTAAGAAGTTAAAATTTTAACTCCTAAAAAAATTAGAAGTGAAAAGCCAAATATTATTTTCAAAAACTAAAATTTTTTACACAAAAATAAATAACTTTAATTTTTGTAAAAAAACACTTCTAAAATAAGGAAGAGATAAAAGTTACTTTTTCTGTAAGCCCAAACAATCAGGCTCTAAATCTTGATCTCACTTTTTTTTTATAAATAAATAGAAATCAAAATTTTAAGAGAAGAGTTTTTCCCAATTGGTTTTCTGAACATTCTTTTTATTTGCATTCTTCTATTCTAGTGCTATTGGTCAGATCTCAAATCTTTTCTTCTTGTAGTATGGACAGATATCTCTAGGTTCTAGTAAAGCTTCCAAACTATCTCTCAAGAGGAAGGAAGGAGAAGTGTGTGCACACTTTTTAGATATGAGCTTACCTCTTCTTTTCAATAACCTTGAATTCCGATGACTTAAGTGATAGTATTTATAAAGGTTCCAATAAACCCTAACTCTAATATCGTTGAGCTCTATGTTCCTTTGACTCTTCTCATATTCTTAGCTCATTTGGACTTTAGTAAAAGATCACAAACCTAAAAAAACAAAAAAAAACATCATCCACCACTTGAGAAAAGTTGATGAAGACACCTAGCACCTATCTCGTGTCTTTCTTTTCATATGTCTTTGTCATTTGGTTAATCAATTTAAGCTTCTACTTTGTGCTTTTTCAAAGACTAACTAAAATTTTAACTCAAACCATACTTTTCAAACTAATATATTTGAAATCTAACCTTCCATATTTCTCAAATTTGTTTGAAGCTGGTCTTGAATTTCAAGTATATAATAGGTTTCTTGAAAGATACTCATTATCTAGTTTCAGTTAAGTTGTCTTTTGTTTATGCGAGCACAGTTGAGAAGAGTGATGCTTTACTAATGCTCTGATTATTTCTTTTAACTATACTAATGCTCTGATTAATTCTTTTAACTATTCTCATCTCCAAGTTATCATACTTGAGAAAGTTTAAGAAGAGCAGCTATAATTACGAAATTTCAAAGAGGTAAATAATATTATTTGCCAACTTAGGTTAGTTATAGCAAGTAGCAACTGTGAACATGAGGTTAATGAACTTAATTTGAAAAAAATCTATGAAAAGTGTCATCCACATCCACACAAACAAAACAAATTGATATTCTTAGGGTGTTTGAATGCGTTTTAGTCTTTATGTTTTTAAAAATTGTTTTGAACATAAATTTTGAAAACTGATCTTAAGAGTAAAAGAACAATAAAATTTGTTTGAGTGTAGTTAGTTTTAAAGTTATAAAGAAGTTGTAATTATTTACAAAAATATCATTAATATGGTGTTGATAAATTTGGAATATCTTAATGAACATGCCATTTCACTTATAACAGTTAAATCACACAACACTGAACAAGGCTGCGATAAATTTGCAACAGCTCAAGCGGATAGAGTTGACTAGGAGATAAGACTCGGAAACTTAGGTCCCTTTCTCTGTTGCACGAAGATAAATTTCTACTTTGATTTAACTTGGTGTATGATGATCTTAAACTACTAAAATCTAAGAGTAGATACATTTTTACTTGTTCATTTGGGCTTGATTTAAATCAGTTTTCAAAATGTTTTTTAATTTTTAGAACAAAAAAACTAATTGTTTTTCTGTTTTTAAAATCAAATTTAAATAATATGTCTGAGTTATTTTTGTTTTCTATTTTAGTTTTTAACTTTCAAAACTAAAAAAGCATAGAAAACAACTATTTCCATAACTATTCTACAAAATAGTTCTGAGAACTAAAAAATAACAACACAATGAAACGGATTACTTTAAAGCAGCTTCTTCCATATTATTCATATATTAAATGAAACACCATCCTTGCAAATACCATGATTCCAATGTCCCAAACCCTGCTCAAGTAAATTAACAAGTAAAACACCACTTATCATCTGAAAACTTGGAGTGAGTGATTAACACTGGTGAAGCCTCCATCAATCATAAGATTCTCTCCACTTATATACCTTGCATCATCACTTGCTAGGAAGAGCACAGCATTAGCTACATCATCAGTAGTTAATTCTACACCTTGCAGGTTGGCATTTTTCCCAACAAAAGCACGAAAACCGACCTTTGCATCCTCAGTTCTCTCGTTCTCAGGCAAATGAACCAAAGCCAAATCTGTTAGGACACCATAAGGTGACACACAGTTCACTCTTATTCCATGAATCCCCAATTCAGCTGCAACATTTTTTGTTAGTCCCAACACAGCATGCTTTGACCCTGTATATGCGTGCGGTCCTATGCCCCCTATGGCACTTGCAACACTGCAAGTAGAAATGATTGAACCCTTCTTTTGTGGGATCATAATTCTAGCAGCATGTTTCATTCCATGGAATACTCCCTTCACATTTATATTGAATACCTTATCAAATTCTAATAAGTCCACATTGCGGATATCAGAACAAGGAGATCCAGAAATTCCAGCATTGTTGACTATAATGTCAAGGGTGCCAAATTTACTCACAGTGAAGTCCACTGCATGGCCAACATCGTCCTCTACAGCAACATCACAATGGACAAAACATGCATTTGCTTCATCACCAAGTGATTCAACGACTTGCTTTGCAAGGTTGTCTTGAATATCAGCTATACAAATTTTAGCACCATGGATATGGAAGAGGCGAACAATGCTTTCTCCAATTCCTGAAGCCCCACCTGTAACCAATGCCACTTTGCCTAATAACCTGCGGAAAATAGAATAGAGAACTTGAAATCACATAAGGTGAAACAGATACAGAATATGAAGAAATAAATATTTGAATGTGTCTCAGATTTCCAAAACCAAAATCAAAGAAACAAAACAGTGATATGAAAAGAGAAGCACAGAATATTTCTGGGATACTTTCTCTTGTAAAAGGTAGTGCTTTCCTTACAAAAATTATGCTTTCTAGAACTTAGAAACCACTGGAGCATTTGAAACTTCAGATAATACCATTAATACTGGCCACATAGATATACAATTCTAAAATATAATAGAGTAACATTGCTCAGAAATTGATAACTCCATGGAACATATTAAAAATTTTAAATTACAGGGCAAGTAATAAAATAACCTGTACAACTCACCTTATGGGACTAGATTAAATTTCCTGTAGAAGTGAACTCAGCATTTATGGAAAGAATCAAAGAATGATTAGTCTCTCTTTCCTTCCAATGTCATCAAATATTCAAATACCACATCATATGCACAAAGGGTTCCCTCCCATCACAAGAGTGACAGATTTTATACCATGATGCATGATCATTTCTGATATTAGTAATTGTCTAACATTTTAAAGTGACAACAACATCCAGATCATAAAGATGACAAGAAGTATTGTACCTATTATGAAAGTTTATAAGTTTATTTCTATCTATTTATTTTTACTCTCATATGTTACATATTATATAATATTATTAACACGAACTTCAAGTGTACAGTTTCCAGAAAAATCTGGTTGAGATATCAGTGGAAAATCCTCTAAAAATATAAAACAAAATAATAAATCAATTAGGTAAGAGTTTGACTCAGAAATAGTAGATTGGGCATCACAGGAGTCATATACTTTAGGAAAAAAATGGGAGAACCAAGAGCATACATGAAGGATTAATACAGATCTGAGAGTTAACTAAGCCGTGAAAGAAGAATGAATATCTGAAAAACAAAATCATTGAGTTTGAAATTATTCCAAAACTCAAATTGGTCAAACAGGTGCAAACAAGATCAACACAATTAGTCAACAAACATAAAAAAAAAAAAAAAATTCAAATTTTTTCATCATACATATGCCATCATTTATCAAAATCACTAAACTCTCTCTACTAATCATAAAAACAAAGCCTCCAGCAACAACAACAGGAAAAGCTAAATTAGTCAAACTTGAGTCAAGCCAGAAAATTTCAACACAAGCTGACACAAGACTTGATGACATAAAAAAAATAAACAATGACAAGTTGGTAAAACTAGATCCAAAAACAAAAACAGATATTGGTCAACTCAAATCAGTTCAAGAGTGAGCAACAAAAGTTACAATCAGTAACTGCATACACCATAGATTCAAAACCTAGACAAGTACATGACAAGGAAGAAATCTTTTAGTACCTTGGTGTTGGAGCTGAAGGCATAGCATTACCGGAAGTGGACATGGTTCTCTGCACTTTCTCTCTGTCTTTCTCGTCTACACTTTTTAGAGATTGCGTTGTGGTGCATAATATTTCAGCTATCACTTTCTATATTTAGCATAAAGAATCATATTATTCAAAGTTTCTTAACCCTCATTCCTTCCACTTTCTTCTCTCTTTGTTTTCATTTTGGAGCTTATTTCTTTTTTGAGAACTAGATATTTTCATTCTAACATTATATACATGATAGTATATGTACAATATACGGATATAAAATAAAAGAAAAACAAAATAAAACAAAATAATTTTAAAATAACAAAATTAAAGATAATTTGCACAATTAATTATAATAAACTTTGGATTATATTTATCTTATTTTACACGAGAAAAATAATTTTCTTACACACACAAAAGAGAGGTGAGTCTCACCACTCTTTTTCTCTCTCTCCTCTTACTTCACTTGTAATTTTATTTATACAGCATGATATAACTATTTTTCTCTGGCATAAGAAAAAAAATTTCCATAAATTTAACACTAAAACCATTTTTAGTGGAACGTCGCAACTAAGTTTATAACTCAATTACAACTAAATTTAATTAAAAAAAATTAATGGAGTTGTCATTAATTTTATGTAAATTATGAAATTTTGGAAAACTTTGATATTCTAGAAAACTTTTGTAAATAAAGTTGAAAATTTAAGGCATGTTTGATTTCTATTCTCAAAAATTATTTTTTAGTTTTTAAAATAAAAAAGTAAAAAAACTTGTTCGGAAAGAGTTGTTTTGGAAAATGAATCCCAGAACACAAAATTGTTTTTTAGTTTTAAAAAATTAAAAAAGAAAAACAACTTATTAGAAATGTTTTCAAAAGTTATTGCGGTGGAAATTTTATAAATATGAAAATTCATTAATGATATTTTTATAAATAAATTTATTTTTTTAATTTTAAATTAATTTACGATGGCAATCTTATAATTATAAAACTTCATTAATGAAATTTTTATAAATAACTACAACTTATTTATAAATTTTTTTTTGAAGATTGATAACTTTAAAACTAAATTATACTCAAATAAGTTTTATTGTTTTTTTTTTTACTTTCAATATCAGTTTTCAAAACTAATGTTCAAAACAATTTTTTTTTAAAAAAAAAATTCAAATAGATTCTTAGGCCCTGTTTGGTAGGTGAATTTTATTTAGAATCATGGAAAAATGTTGTTGGGATTCTAATATACCCATGTTTGATACAAGCAAAATTTTCCCCTTGAATCCAATTTATTCATGATTTTGCCATGTGTACAAATTAGTAAACAAAATACCATCTCATAATACCACTAAATGGGTGGTACTCCAAAAACCCTGGGTGTTTGACAAAGTTAAATGCAATTTTTGGGACATTTTTACCCTTCCCTTTTTCGTGCACTAAGTTGGAGTATCTATACCCCATAAACAAAAGTGTTGTTCTTCTTCACAAGAAGGAGTTCATTTCCTGGCACCTTTTTTTTTCCTGCCCTGATATATTTCCTTCTCCTTTCTCCTGACCAGTTCATTTGGTCCAAGCAATATCTCCATTCGAAATTGATTATATGGAACTGAATCTACATAAAAAGGTCACTCAACATACCCTTGGAATGACTGATTCTAAAATGAGGGTATTAGTATGTGATGTGTTCGGTCCTGGATAGACCGTATTGCTATACCGTGAGGTATGCGCTCAGAGATAGTGTATATCAGATGTATACTAGGCTTATTGCCGAGGTTCCAATCACTCCGCACAAGCAATAGGCTTATAGCCAAGGGGTGGATGTATGCACAGTGTGGGAAGTATTAGTAAGTAGGTTAAAAGTGTTTACCTGGGGTCCTTAGGCTCTTATTTATAAAGATTACCTTCCTAGGCTTGGGCCTTTTGAGCTCCCCCAATTGCAATAGGATTCAACTCCCTTTCTGTTGGGATGTGATCCTTATCTTGTGCCCTTTGACTGTTAAGAGTTGTCGAGATGCTTATGACTCTATCTCTTAGTAGATTCCTAGGTGGGTAGTTGGGATATGATATTCATATCCGTAACAGTTGCCCCCCAGCTCGGTATTCCGAGGCTTGGAATACCGAGGTGCTATTATGTCACCTCGGATCTGGTTCGTCCAAGTTCATTGGTTTCAGAATTGTGTCTTTGAAAGTTCGACTTCTGTGACTACTCGGAATTAATTCTGCCGAGGTCATTTGCATAACTTTTCTTGTTCTTCCTTGGCATTGCGTATGAAGTTGATTTTAATCATGCCGGATTTTTCATGAATCCATTTTATGCCTTTAGGGATTGTCGGTCCGAATTTCGATCTCGTCGTGCTGGGCCGAGTTGAAGGTCTTGGCCATGTTACGACTTTCGGTTGCCACTTCGTGGTCGAGTTCATGTCGACGTCTTGATCTAGGTCGGATTTTGTTCTTATCCTGTTGTCCTGACCTTTCACTTCTTGCCTGCGGTGACGGTTATGGACTTCCACGTGTCTCTTTTCTAGTGGCGGTTCGTGCATCGTGGTCGAGCGTCGTTCTGAGCCTTCGCAGGTCATGATTGCGCTCATTAAACGCGTGCAGAAGCGATTTTACAACTTTGCCCATGGCTACTCAACCGTTTGAGGTCCTTTCATCTTCGCGCATGTGGCTTTGTTTCCCCTTCAAATACCAGTTTTTAAAATGGTATAGGATTTTCGTTCGTCTGCATTGCCTTTTACATTCTACTTCCCTGCTTAATTTCTCTCCACCTTCAGGCGCGTTTCTTTGAGTTTCTGGGTCTTCCCTCGTTGTCAAGGCATTCTGAGTGTGTTAACCTTCTTCTCAGTCCTTATCTTGACCAGGTATCTCTTCTTCTTTTCATATTTTTGTTTCAAGTATTAGTTTATATTTCCTGTTGGGGAGGAGTGTTTCTTGAGCTCTCCTTAAACCAAGTAGGTAATGGATATTCCTGGTTCTTCTGGTGCGGCTATTGGTCGAAATGATGGAGGGGATCTTAACGAGGAAATGGTAAAGGAATTACCTCGAGTCGTTCAGTATTGGTTCTATGGTAGGGAATACACCGAGGAGGAGAAGCTCCAACAGCTTCTTCGAAGCCACTGAGGGGGTTGTCGGGTCTCCCGAGGTGGACGTGGTAGGAGAGGTAGAGGTCGGAGAGGGAGTGGGAGTCATCAACCTCAACTTAATTTTGGCAGGGGTGTTCCTCCTTCGGTCCCTAACCCTTCGATTTCTGGGTTGGGCTCCTCTCCAGACCCAGCTCCTTTATCTTATATTTTAACATCATCCCAAGTGGCCCCAGGTCCGAGGTCCGTTTTAAATCGGATTCCCCCTCTTAGGTTGAGTGATAGTTCTTCAAGTCTTTCTTCATCCGAGCTGGGTTTTCCAAGGTCGGATGTTCCTTCTTGCTTTGATGATTCGGCTTCTAGTCGAGTGCCTTTTGTCGATCTTGTCAGTAGTTCTGACGACTATATCCTTTTTTCTTGGAGTCCAGGCTTGCCGCCATCTGATCTTGGGAGTCCCAAATCGGATTTGGTTGATTTTTGTACTGATCCTCATCCTTCATATTCCAAGGCCACAATCATGGAGGGATCCGACGTTCAAGATTGGGTTCTTCTCGAAGTCCTACAAAAGAGGTCCACAATGTCTCCTGCCGACGTGGCCCAACTTCCAGTTGGAGACCCCAGTGGGGTGGACATGCTCCCAGCAGGTGATCTTACGGTGTGTGCGGGTCCTATTTTGGATGAGCCTCATTTCTTTTTCCTTTACCGGGATCTAATTACCAAGTTAGGGATTCGATTTCCCTTCACCGAGTTCCAGATGGCCGTGATTCGTAGGCTTCAGATTGCGCCTTCACAACTTCATCCCAACTCATGGGCCTTCATCCGGGGTTTCGAGCAAGTGTGCACATACCTCTGCCTTCCTTGTACAGTTTGCCTTTTTTTCACTTTTTTGATGTATATACAGCCAGGGCTGGGGCCGAGGCTAAGGAGAGAAAGGGTTGGGTTACTCTTCGAGGTGCTCCGAACCAGGGTATTTTTATCCCCTACTCCCAATCTTTCAAGGGTTTTAAGGACGCATACTTCAGGGTAGTAGCTCGTTTAGACTGCCTCCCCTGGTTTTCCTCGTCTTTATCAGAATGAGGGGATTTGGCAGGTCAGTTTGAGCTTTATTGGACGCAGAATCATTATCAACGGCGTCCTAAGGACTATGCTACTCCGGGAGTAGCTCTTTCCGATTCGGAGAGACTGGCGGCGTCCGTCCTGATTGGTTATGCCCGAAAATTTGGCATTATCGATGTGAGTTGGATTATAGATAAATTTGGAGAGGATCTCCTTCGCGAGCTTGATATGTGATTTTCATTTATGACCTGTTTCCGATATATCTAATGACTTGAGTTCTGATCTTTGAAAATCCTTTGCAATTAGCATGACGAGCGAGGAGTACAGGAAGTTTTTGCCCAAGCCAAAGAAGACTTCTAAGGGGAAGACTAAAGTAGATCTTTCCTCTGAGGTCAAGACTACCAAGAGACGCCGGATTGACATCGGTCAGGGCGGTAGTTCGGCCACTGATGGGGTTATTTTAACCGATGTTTCGGCTCCCCTCTTTACATCCTCGCCATCTCCACTTCCCCTCCTCCTTCCACTCTTCAAGGGGACCTGATTGTCTTGGAACCTGAGGAGTTGTGGAAGGTCGAGATCTCGGACCGACTTAGGGCTGTGCTGAGGCCTCCTCAACAGTTTATGGGCTCTTCGACCTTGACTTCCGAGCTGAGGAGCCTGATAACTAGTTTGGAAGAGGATTCTCTGAAGGCGTCTTCCCTACTGCAGTCATTTCAAGACCTCCACCAAAGGCTCGATTTGTCGGGTGCTTCCAATTCATCCCTTGCCCTCAACGTGGAAGAACTTTTGGGGAAGAATGGAGAGCTCGGTAAGACGAAGTCAGAGCTGGAAAGGAGAGTCCAGGAATTGA